CGTAAAGCTACTGGATGGTAAAATGAACATGACAGAAAAGATCCCATTTAAGGCACTCATTTGGTTCTTTAAGCATCATTTCAATATAGTTATTTGTCAAATCTAATTGGTGAAGATTCCTTTTGAATTTTGTTTTGTGATAGGGAAGCAGATTTTGACTCCCATAAAAAAAGAGTAAAGTTCTCTTGGCTTTAGCGAGGTCAAAATTGCATCTCCCAGTGGAGCATATAAATCTATTTCAGCCCCAGAATTAGACAATTCAACAGCACATGTGGGGCAATTTGTTGGTTTTGTTTATTTGTTTTATTTCTAATTCTGATTTATGACAAGGAAAGAAAGGAATTTCCCAGCTAATGTCAAATTGGTAATGAAAATTCAAAGAGCTTTATAAACTGACACATTTTCTTTTTCTATCCATAATGTTTCTTGATTCAAGCCAGCAGTTATTAAAGACAAATAATTTGTATTTAGTTTCTGGTCTACTTTTTGATAATGTGTACAGCAGGCTGTATTGGTTACATGCTATAGAAAAATTCGGTGTATTTTTACTCTGCGATTAGGGCAAAGAATTCACATTATCCTCAATTTAGCCAACTCTAAGAAAGCTAGAAATGTTTATTGTATTTAGGGGTGAATCTGATAAACAGTTGCAGAACTGTGTGATCAGCATCTTTCTCAGACGTTCACATTCCATGTGTTGGACATGAGCTCATAAAGTATTGTTAAAAGTAGGTTTAACACTCAAGTTGGTCAAAGATTGCTTTATTTTTTCCTATTTTTGCCTGGCCACTAACTTCCCATCAATGGTGTGACTACAGTTGCTGCATTATCATATCCATGTTGGTTCTTCTTCATTGGAGGAAACCTGTCAAATGCAACTAAGAAGTCGAGCTTTGTTTTGTTTGTTTGTTTGTTTGTTTGTTTGTTTTTAATTCACCTATCTTTATATTGCAAAAAAAAAATTGGCTGACATACCTGAATTAAATTGTGGTTTGACATATTGATTACTTCACTCTCTAAGGTGGAATTAAGGGGAGAAAATCTCCATATGTGAAATCAAAGAAATTATGCCCCAGAAAACAGACTTTCTTTGGGGTTTGCAAATATAATGTAAAAATCAGTCAAAGAAGGGTTGGCACGGGGAACTGCAATGAAAGATTTTTATGTACAGAGAGGTAAGAACTAGCTACCTGTAAAGATATTTGCTTTTTACAACTGAGAGACGGAATGTAAAAATTATGTCGTTCTACATATTTAACTTTTCTATAGCACTGAACTAAAGAGCTATCACAGTTAAGAGACTATTTACCAAACTATTCTGGCTCATTGAATAAGTGCTGAATCAACAGTACTATTATGTGGTTGGCAATATTGGTCAGAGGGTCCCAGGCAGAGCAGGTGGCCCTGGAGGAAGGACCGGAGCTCCTGTGCCTGGGGTCCCGCTCAGCAGGATGGGGCCGTGCAGTGTGGCTGCAGGAGTTGTGCGCTGCCAGCCACAACAGCTCCACTTAATATGCATCTGGCTAAGCCTCAGCAGCATCTTCTTTGATGCTGCCAAAAATCAAAAGGATTTTACTGTATAAACCCTGTGGAACTCCTTGCGAGTAGATAACGAACAATTACCTCTTTAATTTAAAATCTTGCAAGCAAAACTGATATAGTTTAATTCTATTTTGAAAAATTACTTTGGGTTTTGAACATGGCTTTACTGTTAGTTTACTAAGATAATCATTTCTGAAATGTCAAGAAAAAAGGCAGAGACCAAATTCTTTGCCCTAAAGGAGATAGCTGTCTTTTAGAGAGACAGACAGGATGATACAGCCATGAATAACAAAGAACTTTACAAGGCAGTCTCATATCTATATAGTTATAAAAAAATCAAACAACTTCTTCTCAATTAATTAATTCTGTGGATTAATGACTTCATATTGCCTTTGAGAGGCTTTATAGTAAACATTTATTTTTCAGTCAAGTACTGGACTAAAGAACAAAAGTAAAAGGTTTCAATGGCTTGGTTAACACTCATATAAACATCCTCAGAAATGTAAAAAGGCTATGTCTTGAAGCACTTTTTATTCCATTAAACATTACAGGGCCAGATTGTCAACAGCTGAGGTTTTTTAAAAATATTTTTTATTAAGTGATACATTATTGGCATTAGGACCAGTTTTCTGTAGAGATGCCTAGGAGATGTAGGTATGTGCTAAATGCACCTAGATACTTAGGTAGAGTAATTGCTCCTGGTTATTTATGTAGAATTTAATGCTTAGCTACTTCTGACAGCCCTGTTGAATGCCTACCAGCATTGTTAGACACTTCAATGTCTTCTAAATCTGACTTGCTCTTAGGCTGTGAGGTGTCTTATTAATTTCAGCTACATGATTCATTTGTTCTTTTGGGCAGAAACTTAAGTAATAACCTGGAAAGGGTAACTGTGTTTTTCATTTCAGTCTTGTCATTTCAATCCTTCTCATTAAGTATTTGCCTCTCTCCTGTGGGTCAAGTGTAACATCTTTACATTTTACTCTTTGCAGAGTAACATCTAGCTCTGACTACTAGCAAATGGAATTCTGCAGTATGCTAAATAATGAACTAATAGATTTCAAAGGTGTTGGACGTGTCTTAGCTACATCACTTTTACATGCAAGTGATGTGAATACAAGATTCCTATTAGCAGCAAAATTAGCTTGTTTTATAGTAGCATAAATGAGAGAAAAACTGGCTAAGTTGGCTTGGTACAAGTTTGCAGGTTATTCCTACCCAAGTGCTTCAGATGTTGAGCATGGTACCTGGCAGAAATAGAAGAGCTAGAGGTGTGAGAATGATTCCTAAATCAGTGAAAAGTACCAGAACAGCTGATGAAAATCATTAAATAAAAACCCTCCTAAATGTGAGAATTTTCCAAATGCATTTCATTTATTCAGCTAATTTAAAATGTTTCTGAACTGACATGAATTTGCTAAATATTTTATAAGAAGAAAGCTACAGGCTTTATTTGTGCCACTGTATAATGACTGAAAAACCTACTTATGAGGAATTAGGAAATATAAATTCTTGTTATCCACCAGATTAATTAATAAAACATAATTTCTGCAACAGATGGTTTGCTTTCACTTCTCTGAATTTAAGATATTCAAGCAATGAAGCCCTGAATACAAGATGTTAATAGTTACCAAAGAAATCCATCATCTCTTCCTAGGATTCAAAATGGACATACCTCAGAATGAACTATTCCATTAGCATCATTCTAATTTCATTATAATTTGTAAAATCTTTTCTGTCTTCTTCATGTTCTGTCCCCTATACCTCTGAAGTATTGGTCTTTTATCTTCCCTACATTTAAATGGAGCTTTATCTAAATTTTTCTCAAGCAGGTTCAAATTCTGTAACACCTAGGAGGGATATATTTAAGACTGTAATTAAGACCTACAGTGTGAACAAAGTATCTCTTTTAGTATACTTGCAATTGTATCACAATAATTTATTTTTAGAACTTGATTAATTTACAGAATTTTTTAAAAACTGAAAATGAAAGGAAAGCCTTACTAAATGTCATCACTGCTGATATCTTTCATTGTGTCCTTGGCTCACCTGCTGTCTTTGTAGACAAAAACACCTTTTCAGTAAAACAGGAGGTTTTGCTATGGAGGCATGGCTGGGTCTGACCTTATTTATGTTTTTAAGTTTCTCCTTTCAACTGTCTGCCAGAAAAAAAGCCACTCACTCGGGCAAAGTTCGTTTAAACCAGCTTTACAACAAAGTGCAAACCTGAGACAGAGGACAGGTAGAAAAATCTCTTCCCATGAAGTCAATAGGAATCCATCTCCCTAAGATCTTTTTTATTCTTGGCACCAGTGATTTTTCTCAACTGATTTATTGGAGGGCACTGGTTTAACTAATTTGTCTTGCATAGGTATCTTTCCCACTCTGTCCTCTCCACTAGTACAAAACCATCTTCCCTTTAAAGGTTATTTCCTAGCCAGATCTGTCCTAAAGCTATTATCATTAATTTGCACTTTAGGAGGTCCTATCACTTTTAAAAAACTATGAGATACATTCCTGATTTATGGGTTACAGTGTGACAGCCATCATATGCAAAGAAGATTGTTTATACTTACCACAGATGCCCTTGAATAAGAGGGAAATTTCAACCATATCCCCACTCCATGTGCTTTACATAACTGTATTCGATATCCCAGAAGAACATGGCAATCTCTATTTTCCACAGTCCTCTAGGATGTCTAATAGAATTTTATCCTTGTTCTGGAAAATTCAGTATTCACATACCAAAATACAGAAGGTTTATAATACTCCACAAAATTCTGTGGGTTTTAGGAGTAATTTCCATGGAAACACGCTTTTAATCCTTATACAAAATTTTCCTGCAACTGATAATTAAAACATTATCCTCAGATTACTGCGAACCTCATTAAACATATTTCAAAATCATGTGTTTCACAAAAAATTGAAGAAAAGCAAAATACTTTCAATGCTTTTTAGAAAAAAACAATCAGTATGAAGATTAATTAGAGTGTACCTACCTAAACTAAACAGCACCAGGAATTTGAGACAGACAAATTCTCGTAGGTCAAACTGCAGTGAACGAAGCTTTGCTACCAGTTCTTGTGCATGGCTCATAAGATTGTTGAGGGTGGCTCCAGCTTGAGATGCTATTACAGAATAATCCACCTGTAAAAGAGAATTGTATTCCTATCTGGTTGTCATGCCCACACTTTGGGAAGTTTCAAGCAATAATATACAACCAGGATACTCCTGAATATAGAAATCACTCTTAATTTAATGATGTTACCAAGTGTAGATGATTTTATATATAAACCAATTTTAACACAATGGTATATATTGAAAATAACATTAAGCCATCTATCTTAATGGTACGTGACATCACTGTGAGTGCTGGTTTGTCTGTATTAGCTTTTTTTAGAAGCTTTAAATAGCTACCTATGATACTGGTAGCTGTCCACATCTCAGTTTTATTCACTTGGTGTCTCCTGTTCTCATTGTAATGGTATGATCCTGCAGAGAACGACTGATGGAGTGAGCTTTGTGCCTACCCTGGCTGTACTGCTGCAGAGGGGCACAATGATATTCATGGGAAACAGTCCGTGTCCAGAACTTGGCCAGAAAGATCTATTCAGGCCCCGAAATGTCGGTGTATTCCCACAGGAAGCAGAGGTATTGTGTGGGTGGTTGCTGTTCTCCTCAGCTACACAAAATCCCTGTGTTAGTTGGAGTTGATTGGAACGAACTTGTTCAGGCAAGTGCTGCCCTGCAGGGAAGGAGGGGTGGCAGGTGTGTGACAGCCCAGCTGCCCTTGCACTGTCCCCAGCAGTGACAACAGTGCACAGAGCTCCTTCCCCTGGGCTAGGGACACAGGTGGTGCTGCTCTGGGCTCTGCGGGGCAGGCTGACCTGTCTGGGAGCTTTCCTTGTGTGCAGAGATCCAACAGAAAGCTGGAGTTAATACACTTATTCAAATAGGGAAAATTCACAAGCACAGTATACTTAAGGCCTGCCATTGCTGACTCATCCTTGAGTGATCCTTGAACCTTGGGCAACCTCCCCAAGCCCAGCATACTGAAACTGTTCTGGCTAATGCCAGTCCTTTGCAGGGATGCTTCCATGCAGGAGACTGCCCCAGCCCTTGCCACTCTGAAGGTGTGCCTGCTTTCATGGGATGGCGGCCAGTGGGGAAGGGCACAGCCTGTGGGAATGCTGTGATGGGAAGGTGAAGGGAGGGCTGGGGTGGGCTGGCTCCAGGACAGGGCAATGGCTTGGTGTGGAGCAGGGTGTAACTGCTGTATCAGAACTGAAGTGACCTGAACAGCAGCTTCAGCTTCAGTGCTCAGCCCACTTTTCATCAGAGTGCTCCACACCCCCTGGAAGTGCCACTGTGCCATGGACATGGCCTGCTGTGCTGCTTGCTGCCCACAGAACCACTCCTGGACAACTGGCTGAGACCTCAATGGGTCAGTGGCACATTTTCAAAACGCTCAAGTATTACCATCACTTTTCTCTTGTAGGAGCCTCCAGAGCAACAGGGAAATTGCTAATCATACTTCGTCTAAGTGAAGTCTGGCTGTAAATTACGACTAAGCACCATGGTAAGTACTTGCTTTGGATTAGTAATTTGTTTAATGGAATCAATGCTCTCAGCCTATCTCTAAGGTTTTCCATAATAAAGTATTTAATAAAGAATGGAGATGTATCACGACAAGAAACAAACCAATACTGCAAAATTTTGTTTTTCCAGGTTCTGATGCCTTAAAATCCTGTTTTAAAAAGAACTGTGTTAAGTAACATGTATTTAGATTTTTAATTATTTTAAAAATTATTTTACTTTAAAACTACTGAATTGATTTCACTCAAGTATAAACAGCAGTAAAACAAGAAAAAAGCCCCCATACTTTTAACCTGACAAAATTTCAGCAAGGAAAGATAGAAAGATGATAAAATAAATGGAAATTAACTTTTCATGGTAATGACCTTAATATAATTAATTAGTTACAGACTTTTAATAAGAGATTATGTTTATATGTACTCTTATTGCTCCCTATAAACTGGCGGTAACTGCACAAGAAAAATGAGGTTACACTTTTTGAATGGAGGTTAAGAATAACAACACTTTGCAGTGTTGGAGCAGTTAGAGTTGAGTTGATGCTTCAATTAAATCAATGGATTATGCTGAAGAATCCTGTATTGCTCTCTTTTACACCTGGGGAAACTTGTAGAAGTGACGTTAAATTGCTTACTCAGGACCAAAGAAATCTGTGGCAAAACTAGGATCTAATCTTTAGAAATCCCAGTTTATCCATCTTTCAAAAACTACTTTCTAGTTTATCTCTTATTTATCACTCTTTCTATAGATGCATTTAGGCATATTTCTTTATGTATATATATCTATATAAATAATAGGAAAAAATAAAGTAACATACCTCAAATATATTCTACTCAAAGATCAGTTTAATGTATTGCCATGGTTCAACTACTTTGTATTGAGAAACTGGTCACATATAAATATGAAATTTCATAACTTAAGATCTCTTTTGTAATTGTTAAGGGGGAGGCAAAAAGCTCCAAATCCCTTACTGAGCTTCCAATTTGTGGGGAAAATATGCTACTCACTTCATGAGAAGAAGTTAAGATGTCTGAATGTCAAGAATATCAGTGGGCTTAGTGCAGCGATTATGCCATAATGGAAAAACCCAGTAGATGCCTGGATCTCCCAGCATCCCTCTACTGGAGAGCTCTCAGGCAACCTGCTCCTCTTTCAGGTGCATTTAATATTTGCAGCACCAGCAAATTTGTCTGGGAGGCAAGTCCTCATCTGCCACTCACCAGGAACAGGCTGTATTAAATTTTTATATTTATTGACATTTCATTACCATAATTGACTGCAGTTGGTTCTCTAGTAGAAGGCACAGGGCTGCCTCCTAAGCAGGAGAATTGGTCCCTTGAGTAGGATTTGCAATTAAAAACAACACAGAATGGATTTTTTTTTTAATTGTGTAAATATGATGAGTTGAATTTTCAGCTTTAACTAGAGAATAGTAGGTGTGCAGAAGGCTTTTTTCAAGAGTGAGCAAAATTATGAGTCAGTGGAAAGACGACCCCCAAAGGTGTCAATCAGTTTATACAAAAGCAACTGTGCATGAAAAAGCCTCAGTTAATGTCAATTCTGAAAAAGTGGTCACATTAAAGACTACACTGTTCTGCTTGCTTGGTCCTTTATACAGAAATTTATACTAAAAGGTGTATTAATTCTTTTACCTTCCAACATGATTAAAAGCACTTTTAAAAGACAAAGATTAAACCAGCTTGGATTTTATGCAAAATGCTTAATTGCATAATGAAGTCTTAGCATTTACTTTATATTGTACGTTTTACTTCATATTGTATATTGATTTCATTGAATAAAATCAAATCCATTACTAAAATATTCTTGCATCCCAATTAATACTACTACATTTCACATTGATTTTGATGTTGAGGATGTTATTTGGCTTTTTTGAAAACAGCAGCTTTGTCAGAGCTTCCACATAACCTAATTTAGAAGTACAACAATGGGCTGAAGTTATGGCTGAACAAACAGAAGTGGGAATTCCTCCTGTACCCTGGGCTAAATAAATGCTGTGGCTGAAGGCCAAAAATAAAGGGAGCACCTGTGGTTTTTTGTTTTGCAAATGGTGTTTCATGGTAATTAAAGATGTTTGAAGACAAATTACTGGGCTCAGTAATTTCTCTGGTGGAATCAGGTGGTGGCTTCTGGTATCACCTCTGTGCTTGTAAAACAGTCTAAAGTTAATGGTGGAATAAAGTTCCCTTTTTCTTCTAAAATTAAGGAGTGTTTGATTTCTAGAATATTACTGTGGTATCATGGGGAAATATTGTGTGGAACTGCACCATCCCTTTCAATGCTTCAGCAAGCTTGAAATTGTATCCAGAATATGATTAGAATAATTTTTCTTTTTGATGGTGGTGCCAGGTGCTGAGTACCCCTGAATGCCATTCCTTTCAGCCAGATAGGAATTGCACAAGTAAGGAATAAAGCCCCTGCTGTAGCTCTATTCAGTATAACCTAGCAGACTAAGGCAGTCCAAGTTAATAAAAGATTGATTGCATATTGGATTTAGTAAATTAGACTACTGTGAGCTTGGGGTCCGAAGACAGAGGCAGTGGGTGCCCAGGTACAGCAAAGGGAGCGTCCTGCTCCTCCTGTTCTACAGGGTGCAACCCTGACCAGCACTGCTGGCTGCTGGGAGCTGCTCCCCCAGTGCTCCCTCCTTGGCTGGCCCACACTGACCTGCCCTGGGTCCCTGAGCCCTGACCCTGCTCAAGTGGATGCTCAGTGGGTGGATGAGTCTCTTCTCAGAAGCATGGGTTCAGTATACAGCAAACAAACTCATTTGCTATTGCAACCGTTCCATTGTTTCCTGAGAGACAGGTTTCACTGGAAAGTGCTGTGGTTATTAAACTAATTTTGAACATTTCAAATAATTCTTTAATGAAAAACAACATTTCTGTTACATTTCTAAGCAAATAAACATGGAAAACACCTTAAAGAGGTGCCTACATACAAAAATTGAGAAGGTTTCAGAATGGACAAAACCCACAGATATGCTTGTATCTGCGGGTTATCAGGTTTGGATATATTAATTAAAATTTTGTTGACTTATGCAGCATAAGATGCTTGTCATTTTAATGTGAGACACAATAATAGAAGATAATGAATTAAGTTGCCAGTGGCCCTTTCCCCTAGGATGATATGGTGCTTGATAATTAACTATAATATGCAAATAGTAACACTCCAAAGTACTGCAGAGTACAATAGAATCCATTTCTTAACCAAAGTGTTATAATGGTACTTTTATGGGTTTTTTAAATATTGAGATGAGATGATAGAAAAATCACTGCTGTGTTTGATATTCAGTAAAGTTTATCAGAAGACAGAGAACCACTGGAAAAAAAATTTTGTGAATGTCTGGGTAACATCTCACAAGGCTGTGTTAACTCAAACTGCTTCTTCAGGATCTTTGAACCATGTAAATAAATTCCCCCTTCAAGACCCTCTTATTGTACCCAAATTTCTGCTCTATTGTTTTAAATCTTTTCCCACCAATGTGTAGTCAAGACTGGATGTGCTCACCTTGGATCCCATCACTATCACTACTCCAGTAGGCAGTTGGGACAGACTCATGTGGTGCTTTCTTCAAATAGATTTTCTGAACAACTTTGTCTTTCATGCTGGGCAAGCTTAAAATCAGCTGTGGTATTTTCCATGAGTTTGTGTTGACAGATTAGTTCACTAGCATGGGACTGGTTTGAAGAGCTAACAGGCCTGAAGAAATGCTGCCAGATTCCAGGCAAATGACTTTAGTTTTCTTTCCTGCAGATGGGAGCCATGTGTATGAAATACAAAAGAAATGTGTTTCCCATGAAGACAACAGAGTTAGCGTGTGGAAAATGAAAGAGTTCTGGTGTTCAAGGATTTGTGTCAGGTGCTCTCTCCATGAACTTTTACTGGAACAGGGATTTTAGATTAAAAATGTAGCGCTATGATGGTTTCATGGCAACACAGCAAAGTACACGTGAATTAGGATCAGGTTGTTCATAGGTATGTCCACAGCTACATAAAAGGCTCAAAATATGTAACAAATATTTGGAAAAACATGAATTCAGGGCCTTTCGTGGTTATAACTGAATTTTGATGTGTTTTACCCGGTTTAATTGAGTACATCTAGTTCATCCCTAAGGAGCAGCCAGCATAATATCTTCATATCTTCATAAGGCCATTTTAGCAACTACCACAACCTTACTTTCCTTTAGGCAGAAACCACTAGAATAAGGAACTGTGCAAAAAATCTAATACTATACTGAATAGTGAAATAATGATTGTTTGACCTCATTTGTATCCTCCTTGAATCAAATCCTGTGTTTATTTGCTGATGTAAATACTTCTAGATTTGTCCCTCAAATGCCAATAGCTCTTTTGTGCTCACCACAACTATGAAGCCTCACTGACTAAAACATAAATTGAATGGGAAAAAGATACTAATTTCCAAAAATATAAGAAGTAATAGGTTTCTACTAGGTATCCATGAGCTTTCTATACCTATGACTTGTAGATGTCCTTTGCAGCCACTCCTCTAACACTCATGTGCTTTTGTACTTCAGTGATACTTCTGCAAGGGTGATCTTTCTTGACAACACCAGCAAGATCTCATGCTCTTTCTCTGATGCTATGCTTTAGAATAGAAATCCAGATGTAAAGATGTGTTTGTGTGATGACTTCAACTAAATCAATAGTTTCAACAATCTCAAAAACGTCTGAGATTTAGACACATTATTGGATGGCCTTTTTAATTGGAAAGGCTTTGGCCAAGCTCAGTAGAGGGAATATTGGGCAACTGTGAGCAGAGTTTAGGTATGAACAAAGGGAGCAGATGAGGCTACAATTCACGTGTTGTGCATTGACTGTTGCAGGAAAGTGCACAAGCAACAATATTCTGTGCAGAGCTTTAGCTTATGTGTGCTGGGTCTTGGAAGCTGGCAGTGTATTGCGCATGTAGAAGATACAAGGAGAAAGTGCTCAAGTTGGAGGAATTAAAATTCTATCATTAGAAATGGTCTGTTGAAATTACATGCTACATGGCAAGCTTACAAAACTCAGCATGTGGAGAGCATATTGGCAATGATTTACAATTAACCACCACATTGCAAATCACTCCTTAGCTGTTTTCTATTATGAAATTTTGAGAGTTGTAAAATGCATTTGTGCTACTTTATTTCCTTTTGAAATGGTAATTGCTACTGCTGAGGGGCAGTACTTAGTGCAGAAAATGAAGTGTGCAGCACAGGGAGGAACTTGTTTCTGAGGAACTGCTGAGGAATTGTAATGATGTGAAAAAAGTGCTTTCTTGAAACACATACACACAAAAGAGCTTCATTTATGAAACCCCAAATAAATAACAAAATACAATAAAACAAAACACAGTCTCTTTTTATGCAAGGGCCAGAGCTTACTAGTTTGTTGCTGACTGCACCTTTTCCCCATCAAAGTGGGAACAGTGGATTGACACTGAGTAAAACCCATAAGTCAGTGGCTTGAGGGAAATGCAGATATATGGAAATGTGATAGGAGTGCCCTAAAGTTTTGAGCCTGGGTTTTGAGCCAGTGTGTTTGAAAATTATCAAGTGTTCTTCTAACTACTAGCCCATTTTAGATACCTAGTACAGCACTGACAGTGGTACCGCCCTGGGGACCTGGATAAAGTTTGGCTTTTGTGTCTGAGAAACAGAGGCTGTGCAGTCTAAGTGGAGAGAGAAGGTATATTCTAATTAAGTGATGGCAAGTTCCCCCTTTACAGCTTCCACCTTGATGGTGATTTGTAAAAAGGACAGTGTTTATGAGTAGCTTTTATGGTGGGATATATTAAAGAAAGCAAGGAGTGAGGCTTCTCAGGTCTTAAATTTGCTAACTTGTGTCAATAATCTTGATCTCTCAGGTAATAAAGTTGGCAATCTAGCTCAGGTTCTCAGTTTAAAGTTATTATCTTTGAAAGCCAGGTGATTGACTGTAATTTTGCTCATAGTGCTTTGTTGGTAGCAGAAATAAAAACATCTACAGCACTTTTCATCAGAAGTGTCAGAGTGCTTTCCACACCTTAATCAACTAATTTTTATGAAATGGTGGCATGGTTTTTCCCTGTCTCTTCTGTGGGAACTGAAAGGATCAGGACAGTAATCAGAAAGTATGCAGGAATGGTGCACTAGCAAAGACTCAAAATGCCCAGGTCTAGAAGTGTGGCTTCCCAGAATTATTTTACAGTTTTTACAGACCATACAGTCACAGTTGTAATTGTCCTTTCATAAATACATTTGAACAGATGTTGTGTCTAAGAGTGCAACAGTCTGAGTCAATGCTTCCAAGATGGACCACCTTGACAGTCAGGAAAAGAGACAGTTGTGTTGGGTCAGCTTGTCTTAAAAAGTAACTCACTACTGAACAGGGATGTGCAAAAGCAGAGCACAGCAGCTGAAGCCAGGAATGGCTCAGGATGGGTGATGTGGAAGTACTGTCCATGTCTACTGCCATGGAGTGATAATGTTAAAAAGGGGTTAAAGCTGTAGTGATAATGTTAAAAAGGGGTTAAAGCTGTAGTTGAAGCTTGCAAGGAATGTTAAATTGCTAGTCTGGGATAAACCAGGAAAATGTGCTACTGCAGCTGCATTCAGATGGTGGTTTTGTGGCAGTAAGCACATACCAGGCTGAGGTTCTCAGTGCCCCCTTTGCCTCAGTCTGTCCTAACAAGATCTCCTGGGCTCTGCATTGCATCAGGGCTCAAGGAGGAGAGCTATAAGCACTGGGTGTAAGTTGGAAAAAAACCCCAAAACTTCATAGGAGAACTAAGGAAAAGCTTTCTCCCCATGGAGATTGTCAGGCAGTGGTACTGGGTGCACACAAAATTTTGCAGTTTCCATTCTTGGATGTTTTCAAAGCCCAACTGGGCAAAGCCCTGAGAAACCTGGTTTGAGCAGGGGTTTGGACTGGGGACTCCTTAAAATTCCTTCCAGTCTGGATTATCCTATGATTTTTAAGATTTGTAGCTCTGGCAATTCTAGATATTTTAAAACTTCTGGTTAGCTCACCCAGCCTTGTCCATAAAAGAGTTTCTTCAAGGAATAATTTTTACCCATGAAAATAATTTTAAAAGATGCTGGTTTGAAGTAAATGCTTTTGATGCAGAAATTGCCTACAAGTCATGTAGTGGCACAACACTGGCACTGCTGCAGCACCTTGATTGCCAGCAGCCTTTGTGTGAAACACGAGCCGTGCACAGCCCAGCGGGGCAGGCGCTGCTCCTGGAAGCAATCTGCCTTTGCACCGGGGATCCACTGCGGCCAGAGCTCAGTGACACTGGGACAAAACAGGGGCATTACGGGGAGATTTCAGAAACAGCAGCCAGAGACTCTGTAATTCAGGTCTAGTGTCTCCCTGTTTCTCAAAGAGAATCTGTGATACATCCATGGCAGTATGTTCTGCAGCTGTTAGGAGTTGTGAAATGGGAAAAAGGACTGACTGGAGAGTTCTTGTTGCTGTTGTAATCATACTACTCCTGCTCTTAGCCTAAGTGCAAAGAGGAAAGTAAAGAGGGTGTTAGGAGACTCTGGGGGTGCTTGCACCAGCTTCAAAAGGACAAATTTTGACATAGGAAAGGGAAATTGGATTCAAAGAAGGATGTATTAAGACTAGTTTACAAAAATGGGAAAAAATTAATGCAGTCATTCCAATATAGGCAGGTTTTAATCTAGTTGGAGACTGCCTGGAAATGCACAGCTTCCCAGTTCAGCTGCTGATTTGCAAGCAGTACATTTAATAAGCATCCTGCTACCTGTTGTCCAACAGTGAAGAAACATTCTGCTTTACCTCGAGATCATGTGCAGCTGGGGTTTTTATTTTCAAGAAAAGATAAAAGTGGATAATGAGGTAAAAATTACTACTGTGGGAAAATGGGGACAATGGCTGGAATTTAAGGGTATTTAGATACCTCTAATGATTTCAGTGGGACTTAGGCACTCGGTACCTTTAAAACAGTGCTAATCACATAACAAAGGAAACACTAATTTAGCAGTTCTCTCAGGAACAGAAACCTGTCAATGTACTTATAGCTTTATAAACAAGCAACCTGTGTGGTAAATGAAATAATTTCCAGTAAAATTGTCTGTCTTGCAAAGCATGAATTGGAAAGGGAATCAGTCATTATCTCAATTGCACTAATAGAAATCAAGAGTAATGCAACTAAACTAACTTTTGCTGATGCTGATATTTGAGATAGGTTAGTGTCTTTCCGTGAAATGCTGGAGTCAGTTCTATGGACAGAATTTGAGTTTTCCCAATTCCTTTCTTGAACAAGTGAATAATTTCTCCCTTCTACTGTAGACGTCTTAATCACAAATGCAAACAGGAGAATCAGAATCCTTCTGATTCTTACAAGTATTTCTTCTTAGTGTTGAGAAATGGCTGCAGCTTTAAAATTATAGCTAAAGCTGTAAGCAGATTCCACAACATGCAGACACAAATGGTGTAGCATAGGAAAAGAAGCTCTTTCCCATGTGTGTATAAATTGAGGCAGTTCAGTTTGCAGCTACTTAAATACCAAAGAGACATAATTTGTTTTCACTTCAAGACAGAAACCTAATGTACAGGCACACTTTGCTTTTCTTTGATACTCTCTCTTTTTTTTTCTTCCTGTTAAAAGCAGAATAACAATCTAAGGAATAAGGTTCTTGTTTTACTGTTAAGATCGTTGTGCTTTGGAAAGCATAGTGGAGACAAAACTTTCTATTTCTTTTGTGTTTTCTCACTATTTCCCTAATATTTACTACATTATAGCTCTTGCATTTTGGGAGATCCTTGTATCTGACACATGAAGAAAATTACCCCTTGAGAGCTGTGCAAAAACTGCATGCTGCATACCCTGAGACAGTTTCTTAGACA